TTCTCGTTCTCTTTTCTTCCTTACCTCTTTAAGTAACCCTGTAATTTTTTTCTTTCTTTTCCCCCCCTTTTTCTTTCTTGTCCCCTCTGTCTCCCTGAACGCTTTGAAATTGGCTCTCTGCCTGCTGACACCAAACTGATACTTTGCGTTTCACTTCTCCTTATCCCTTTATGGCAACAGATGTTGAAATTTTGTATCCTTTTATCTGCCGGGCTGCCCCTTCCTGTAATTATGGCCTCCTTGTTAGCAGTACAAAGTGGGCTGCCTGGCTGCCTGGCCTTTGAGCCATTGTGTGGGAACATGTGTGCATGGGCGGGTGCTGGGGGTGCGCGCAGAAGTCCCCTTTCCTCTCACCTGGTGGGGCTGAGGTGAGGGATGCTCCTATGGGCTTCCCTTCTCTCCACTCCTGCAACCTTACGTTTGGGGTTGTCTGTTCCCTCGATTCTCTCACTGGCTCCATTGGAGGACCAGTCTCTGTGCACCGGGGCAGGAAGATGTGTGTGAGGCAGTGGTAAGGGTCATGGTGGCCCTAGGTGTCTGCTAGGGAAGGAAATGTCCAGGGGACTCACTCGGGGCCGTGCTGTCCGTGAAAGTAGGTAGGGCCAGGGGCAAGAATGTGTACTCCAGAGCATGAAGACCTGACCTTACGGGTTACTAGCCGTGCCACCTCTGAGCTCTAGTTTGTAAAGCAGGGTTATGACACCTCATAGTGCTCCTAGCACTGAGGCAGCAGGATCAGGAGTTTAAGGTTAGCCTGAGCTACAAGACCCTGTCTCAAAAATAGACACCTCATAGGCCCGTTAAGAGGATCACATGAGCTGGTTCTGTGGGCACTCTGCACACTCTGACAGCCACAGACTTCTCCGAGTGAGCTGCCGCATGGCAGCTACTTCCTCACCAGGTGACCCGCACAGCCATAGCCTGGCCCAAGAAGACACAAAAGAGAAGGCGCCTTTTGACTTCTCCGCTCCTGCAGCCTGGATGCTGCTACCAGCCTGGTTTCTGCCCTTTCTGCCTGTGGCAGCAGCCTTTCCTGCTATGTGACTTTAAGAAAGTCACTTCCTCTGTAGCCCTTAGTTTCCTTATCTGCAATTCGGGGCCAGGACCCGGGCCTCCGCAGTCATGCCAGTGGGCAGTGTGCGGAAGGCCCCGTGGTCTGCAGGCCAGATCCTGCGGCACGTTCCCTTCACACTGCCAGCCTCTGCAGGGCAGCCTGGCTGCCTCCATGCTGCACCTTTGCCAAGGCTCTCACTTCCCTGTCACTGCCTGTGACAGTCCTGTCACTCTGCAGTCAGCTGTTCCCCACGGCCAGACATGCTCTATCTGTCCCCTCACAGAACTTTTATCTCCCTGTCCTTCGCAGCAAGTTGTGCCTGTGTTAGTCCTCCCTTGGTGCAGACTTGTCTCCCTCACTGGTCTGAAAGCTCCTGGGAGGCAGGGACAAGCCCTCCTTGGCACAGTTCACATCTCCTTATTTCTATTAAGCACGATGCCTTGTATACAGAAAGTGCTTAATTAATAGTTATTAGAGGAAGAGCCAGAAGGGAGGGAAAACCTCCCATTCTCTTTGTTGGTTCTGGCTTCTACCTTCAGGCTATTTGTCCTCTGGGGAGCAGAGGAGATGTAAGAAGGTAAACTGTCACCCTTCTATCCTCTTTTCTCCCCAAAAGGCATTGTTGCACTTCAGGGTAGCATATGCCAGACCAGGTGTCCTTTTACCCAGACAGAAGCAGGAATGCACACTGGTGGGGTCTCCAGGGAGCATCATCAGGAGCCCTGTATGTTAAAGGTTGCTGGAAGGTGGCATAGGAGCCACTGGCACCCTTGCTTGGAGGCTGGGAGGCGGTAGCAGCTCTGGTATGGGAGGGGTGTGTACGGAGCTGGGATACGGCGGCTTGGGGAGCCTGACTTGGGGAGCAAGGGTGGGGCCTTCTGTGCCCGATTCCAACACTCAGGGCCTCTCCCAGATGGGCCGTCCAGGTGTTCGGGGATAAGTGTGTGCATGCAGTCAGCAGACCCCACAGAGGTATAGTTGTCACTGTTTTACTTAAATTTCCCTCCTCCCTGACTGGCAGCAGGTTCCCTTCTCTCCCGTCCAGCCCCAGTCACCCAGGCAGCAGCATGACTTTCCTGGGGCAGTGGGGGCAAACCTTGGCACATGTGCCACAGTGGAGAGTCCACTATGTCGCCACATGAGCCAAGTACTGGCTATTCAGGTTTAATTGCAGTGTTGGCATTTTCTGATAGGTGGGTTATTTATAAGTGGGTTAGGGGTTGCAGTTTAGGCACTTGGTCTCTAAAATCTTTGCCGTCGTTGGGGTAGAGGGACCAGGGTCTCTTTCAAGAGACCACGCAGCAGTGTGGCTGCTCTGTGCGTGCTTCCCCTGCCGGGTATAGGCTGCCCTGCCTTGCGGGCTCATTCTTGAGGCCCATGCAGCAGGAGGTCCCATCTGTCTTTATCCCCTCCTGGGTTGAGCGTGAATTGCAGGAATCAGGCTCAGAGAGGCTGTGGTGTGGAGGCCCCTGGCCTTCAGCAGCTCCTAGAAGCCCAGGCTTTGTCTGCAGGGGTTGGAAGGGAAGGGACTTTTTGTCTGGCCTGTGCTCCTGTCTTGGCTGGGGTGCTGGGTGGCAGCTCCATTCCCACACAAGCTGTCCAACAGCCAAGACTGCTCCCCCACCCCGCATGGTGAGAGAGGGAGAGGCATTCTTAACATTCTTTCCAGAGAAAAGGGGTGAAATGTCTGAATTTGGGGGTCACCACATTATACAAATTGCAGTCTAATCGTTTTTTACAAGAACACACTTGCAGTAAAAAAAGGAGCCCAGGAGGAGGGGATGAGGGGACAGACAGCTGGTTTTGTCCCCTTCCCCCCAAAGTTTGGGACTATTGTTGGGCCAGTCTCTCCCTCCACCGCAGCAGTGCAGCTAGAGTTCTCTAGTTAAATTGGGGGGGGGGGGACTGCCACAGTGCCATTTCTGTTTGTTTTCCCAAATCAAAGCCCCAGCAGGACTTCGATGGCACTGCTGGGCCACTATTTGAAGAGACAGGCCATTTCCCAGAGCCTGGTGTGTCCGTTTATGCTCTGAACTTAACCTTACAAGCTCTGCACCAAAGAGCCTTGAGGGTCCTGGGTCTAGAGGTAAAAGAAATTGTATCCTTTTATTGGCCCATTTAAAGTGTGTGTGGCCATTCTGGAGAATCAGAGAGCATGGCAGGAGCTCACAGCCAGCCTTTGGCCAGGCCAGGCTGGCAGATAGGGGCAGATAGGGCTTGTTCTGAGCCTGCGCGGGGGCTGCTCAGAGTGCCCTGTGTGTTCCCCTGGGGGTGGGGGCCTCTCAGGCTGTTGCGTTTCTTATCAGTGGTGGCTGGGTTCGGGCAGAGCCCAGGTTGGCAGTGCAGTCCGGCTGTGCCCTTTGCACTGCTGACCTGGGCAGCCCCATGTGGGTGCCCGGCTCTCCTTCCCTGGGAACCCTGCGACCAGGTGGGCAGGTAGCACCACGCTGTGCTCCTCCCCTGCTCTCTGCCTTTCATCTTCTATTCAAACAGACAAACATGAAATTACTTCTGCAGATTAAAGGGGAGAGCACTCAGTCATTCCTTATGGCCTCACTAATGGAGGGGGCAGGGCCCCCAAATCTAGAAGGCCAGGGCAGAGAATTGTGGAGACCGCAGCCCCACCCTCTATGCACACATGTGTATACTGTGGGGAGGAGGGAGACCAAGTCACACTCCCCCCCATCCCGAGTGGCTGTCATAGGACTTCAGTGACCTCAGAACCCCACAGAGGCCTGTCACCCCCCCTACCTGGCAGCTGGCCACTGGGAGGAAGACCAGGACTCCCGGGGATAGGGGCGCTGACTCGAGGCCTGCAAGGCCTTGCACTGCAGAGCTGTAGTGCACTTGCAGGGCAAAGACTTAGTGGGCAGGAAGGAACCCAGCCACCTCCTTCACTCTGTTTCTTCAGCCTTTAGGGGAGAGGGCAATGAGGGCCTGGAGCTTGAGTCTGCATTAAGACAGGTGCCTGGCAGCCTTGGGTCTTTCGCTGAGCACTGCTGATAGGTGTGCTGTGGGGCCATGAAGTCCTCTTCACCCCATGCCACGGTCTCACACAAGTGTCTCTGTGAAGTGTCTGTGGTGTGTTTCTCCTGTCATGGGCAAAGGAAGCTGGGGCACCAGCCCAAAGGGTGTCCCTTTTCCTTCATCCTCCCACTTTGCAGAAGTCAGTACTTCCACCTACCCGCTCACCACAGGGATTACCGGGTACACTTGATGTTGAGGGGTAGTTGCTAGGGCCAGAGGCCTCCCTATATGGTTGCTAGGGGTCTGGCATGGGGGCAAGGGGTCTGCCCACTGCCGCGGTCACGGAGGGAATTACAGTCACAAAGAAATTGTTCTTCTCGGTAATCTGCTCTCGGCCACCGGGTGGAGTAAGGGTGGGGGAGCAGGCTGGAGCCCAGCAGGCCGACGCTGTGATCACGGAGGCGTGCTGGCCCTGGGCTGGGGGCCAGAGGGCCGGAACATCAGCGACCAGCACACTAAGCTGCTTTCTCAGCGCTCTCCCCCCAGACACAAAGGTGTTCGCTTGTTTTAACATCTCCTGGGGCTCCCCTTCTCCCTCTGTGTGGTCTTTATTCCCAGTGAGGCCTGAGCCCCAGATTACAGGCAGGAATTAAGGCACTGGAGTCAGGCAGCTCAGAACTGCGTGACCTGCAAGATCAAGAAGTGTAAACTGCGTGTGTGCACAGGAGGGGCGACCCCTTCAGCAAGGCCCATTCATTGCCCCACAAGAGCAGTGGGTGGCGGGCGGCCTGTGTGCAGGTGTGAAGAGGGGCTGCTGTGTCCAGCTGAGTGAGGCTTCAGCTAGGGCTGGGATCTGGCCATCGCCTCCCTTCCTCTGGGAGTCTATCAGCTGAGGACGGAGAGCTGCGTGTCCCTGAAGTGTGGTGCCATCTGCAGGCCAAGGTGGGCAGCGGCTCACTTCTGCCCTTCCCCTCCTCAGCGGGCAGCTGATGACACACCTGGGCAGTGACTTCCCCCCAGGGGCTGGGGTGCTGGATGTGATGTATGAGTCCCCTTCAACACTGCTGTCCTGTGGCTATGACACCTATGTTCGCTACTGGGACCTCCGCACCAGCGTCCGGTGAGTATGCTGGGTGGAATGACACACAATGGGAGCCCAGCGCCAGTCCTGGGGCACCCTGTGGACAAGGCACAGAGCTCTCTGTTGGGCTGGGAAGTAAGGGTCCAGCAAGGTCATGTCAAGCTAGGTGCCCAGCCAGTGGGCAGCCCTGGGCCCCGTGGCCTGGGAGACTAGCCACAGGCCCTGATAAAGGTAGGCATTTCTTAGAACCCATCCCTAGCATTCTGGCCCAGCTGTTGAGGCATTCATTCCCACCCTCCTAGATCCTATGACGAGTAGCTGGCCCTGTGAAAACGCAAACGTGTCTGCTTTGGTCCAGGGCTTGGGGAGTGTCCTTCACAGAAGACACCTTCTCTGGTTAACTTTGGTCGGTAAAGATGGTGAGCTGGCATGTGTGCTGGTAATCCCACTGAGAAGGGAGGGTTGCACGTTTGAGCCGAGCCCAGGCAATTTAGTCACTCAGTGAGTCCATCTCAAAATGAAAAACAAAAGGCTGGGGTAGAAATGTAGCTCCTGGGTTCAGTCCCTGCCCACCAAGCTCCCCAGGCCCCTGGAGAGAGGCACCCCAACCTCCCTGCATCTGTGCTCCCCGGACAGGAAGTGTGTCATGGAGTGGGAAGAACCCCACGACAGCACCCTCTACTGCCTGCAGACAGATGGCAACCACCTGCTGGCCACAGGTTCCTCCTACTATGGGGTCGTCCGCCTGTGGGACAGGCGCCAGAGGGCCTGCCTGCACGTAAGTGTCCTACCTCACACGTCCACAGTGCTAAGCTGTTCCCGGAGGGCTGGAGGAGGCCTACTGTGGCACATGACCCTGTCACTGGGCCTGGGAATCCTGGGCTAGGGTCCCCCCATTCTCACGTGGAAAGCAGTCACTTCTTGTGCCCTTCCCTCCAGGCTTTCCCACTGACGTCGACCCCGCTCAGCAGTCCTGTGTACTGCCTGCGGTTCACCACCACGCATCTCTATGCTGCACTCTCCTACAATCTCCATGTCCTGGACTTTAAAAACCCTTGACAGGCTACTCCTGCCTGCATGCTGGAAACCAGCAACTCAGGAACCTCTTCTGCCTAGAGTGTAGGGTGACGCTTCCTCCTCTCCCTGCTGTGTTCCTGGACCTGTGGCCACAGTACCCAGGCACGTGAAGCTAGGGGCAGTGACCCCTGGGGCTCTGGGGCTCTGGGGCCCTGGAGATGCAGGCAGTCCTGCAGTCCATGAGCAGATAGGACCTGCCATTGTAGGAAGATGCTCACACCTGTCTGGCAAGAGCAAGGGTCTACCTGGGAAGGCCCAATCCTGCCCTTGCACCTGCCCCGCTTCGCTGCCTGCAGGAGGAGGGGCGGTGGGGCTACCCTTGCAGTGGCCTTCTGTCTGCCCTGGCACCAGCTGCCTCCTGTCAGACCCCTCAGTCTGACCAGCCTCAGGGGGGCACTATGGCCTGGTTTGACCTTGGGTTCTGATCTAGCCCTCAGACTGGCCTGGGGTACCCTTAGGCAGCTGTGAAAGCATGCTACTACTTTCATTTTTGTAAAAATAAAGCTTGGTTGTTTCACGTATCTGGTTCTTCACTGGCCAATTCATGCCAGAAGAGATGGCAGAGCAGGCCAATAGCACAGAGATTCAAGCCCAGGCATGTGTGCAGAGGAAATACCACCATCAGCTGTGTCCCCAAAAATAAAGATTTCTTCAGAATACTGCCCCTGGACCACCTACCTTTTAGCTTTCATGGGGGTTCAGAGAGGAGACTGTGAGGGCTCCAGGCTGCTGAGGTGCTAAGCTGCTGTCACCTATGGTGACTCATTTTCACTGTGCCTCAACACACACACACACACACACACACACACACTCTCTCTCTCTCTCTCTCTCTCTCTCTCTCTCTCTCTCTCTCTCTCTCTCTCACTCTCTGAGCCTTATTCTGGCTTTTCAGTTGTTTCCAACATTTCTGCATTTTTCAGAACTTCTCCCTTGCCCACACCTACCTTAGGGAGCTTCTTCTGAGCCACTCCTGCAACCACACTGGACAAGGGCCCTTGCACCCAGACTCCCTCACAAGCTCATGCACACAGCTCGGAGATGTTCTGCCCTGTGGGTCACAGGCTGCCACCCTCTTCTTGAGGCAGAAGGCTTTATGCTGAAAGTGCCCAGGATGCAGAAGGGAAAGGCACACCAGTGCCCTCCCTCAGGAAGCCAAGGGACTTGGGTAGGGAGCACACAAAGCTGATGGAAGGGCAGCCCATCTGCAGTCACTAAGAAGGACTTTACTCAGGAAGTGAGACTGAACTGGGGCCACTACTACATCCAGTTCCGATGGCTCTGGATGGCTCCTAGGAGACAGGGGCTGCCCCGTACCAGCAAGGCCAGGCTGGAAAGTGTTGCAGAGTCCTCCCCACAGAGGTGTAAGGCAGGGGCCAGCTACTGAGTCTTACAGTCTCCATCACCACTGTGGCCTGTCTTGACCTTCTTTAGCTCCTTCTGTAGCTCTGTCTCTGCTACCAAGATCTCCTTTGGCTTCTGATACTGTGGACAGAACCAGAAAGAGGACATAATTCAGTTATACACTGATACTCGGGCCCCTTCTGAACCTCTTACTGCATAGGAGGAAAGGGCACATAGTTGAGTGATGTACTCAGGTCACATCTGGCTGGGCAGGAGCGTTCTTTGGGCCAGAACCCAGGTCCTGAGATTTCCATCCAGTCCCCATCTACCTGTGCCCTCATCCAGCTGTGGACTGTGCCACCTGGCTGCACCCTGTGCCTCCTCATTGGCGATGCCTGATCTCTGGCAGGCACCTTGGGGCAGGGGCCACTAAGGACTGGGAAATGGGCAGGGAAAGAAGGACCTCTCCCCTAGGTAGTCACAGACAAGTATGGGTGAATCTTACAGAGATTATCAGGGTGCAGTTGGCATGAGCAAAGCTCAGCAAGGAATCATCCAGGGGTAGCTGGTGTCTGTCTAGGTCGGGAACGGAGAACTTCTTGTAGTACCTGTGGGGACACCAAGAGGCCATTGGAGCACCCAGCAAGGTGACCCCGACAGCTGGGTACCACGCCCTTGCCAGCAAACTTCTACACAGTTCTCCCCCCACCTGCCATGTCCCCAAGGGCAGAAGGGAAAACAGTTAGAGCAGTAGCCTTTTAGAGTCTGGTGGCTGTGGAGAGAAGAGGATGCCCTCCTATGGCCTGTCCAGCACAGCAGTGCAGAGCCAGGTCATGGCTCCACGCTGAGACCAGGGTCCAAGTCATTCCCACGCAGGGCTGACAGCACCTTTTGGAATCTGCAGAGATCTTACAGCTCTGGCCTTCTCCGCACCCAGAGCTTCCTGCGGCAACAATACAGGAGGCATGTCCTGGCCCAGGACAATAGAGACAGCATCTGGGGCCACCTCCCAGAGCTGGGGATCCACAGTTGCCATTCACACGGGGCTTCCACTGAAGCCCTCAGCTACTTTTCCTCTCCAGCGGTCTTTTAAAAGGCTTTGTTAGTCTGCCCCATAAACTAGAAAGAAAAGTACATCTACCACAGAAAATCCTTGGGAGGACAAGCCCCATGACTCCACATTGAAGCTGTCTCTCTGGTTCGAGATCCCTCACTGGCCTTCAGCCCATGCCTCTCCACTTTTACACACATGGTTCCTATCATCTTCAGGTCCCAAGCCAGTCATTAATGATCCCTTTTAGTAACACAGACAAACAAAAACGGATAGCAACACCAAGCCTATAATATGATCAGCGGACTTCCGGGGACAGGAGCCCTTTGTCAAAGAGGAAACTGCTTGGAGAGACACTGTCTCCCCTGCCTCGCAGGCAGCTGGCAGTGGATTCAGAATCAGGGTCAGTGGATAGTTCTTGCTCCTGCCCAGTGCCCCCCATCACTAACGGAGGCCCCTGTAGCACTGGTAGATGTACGGCCCGGGCCCTGACCCGTCACTTTCTGTGGCAGAGGTTGTGTGGGCTGCAGAGGGAAATGCCTCAGGCAGGTACAAACAAACTCAAGTGAGTGGCCGGGAAAGGACGGCTTTTAATACTTCACAGAGGCCTGGTCCTTGTGGTGACAGCTACCTTGAGTCCACTTCAAAGGCCACAATGCCCTGGGGACTCAGAAAGTTGACATCAATGCAGCACTTCTGCCCCTGTCCTCTCTGCCCAAATCCCTTGGTTCAGTAGAGGTTCTGGGGCCCCTCTGCTCCTAGCTTCCCCACTCTCCACAAGGTGTTGGGACCCACGGCAGGAAAAGAATGTTTACTTAGAGGCTGACAGTTCAAAAGAAGTGGGGGCTGGGGGATCCTAATGGCACCACAAGTTGCTTTCTTTTCCAAAGCTCTGCCCCAGGGAAAGGCGATCCATCTGCCTGCAAACGGGTGGAATGCCTGCCACATCCTCCTGCTAGGCAGCAAGGCTGAGGGCTCTTCCTGGGCCCCTCGGTCTGGCCAGCAAAGGTGGCAGACACTGATAATAGGGGGAGTCAAAGGTTAAACAGCAGAGATTAGGTGAACACAAAGGCTTGTTAGGAAGTGTTAACATCTTCCTTGCAAATATACACAAAAAGCAGAACCAGAAGAGAAGGAGCACCCACCCGACCCCAGCCCAGCCAGCCAGCCCAGCCCTTCCGCAGGCTGGCTGGCAGAAAGGCAGAGAATCTTAGGGCTTGGTCTTAGTGCCAATATCAGGATCACAGGGAAGTTGAGGTGAACAGCTTATCCCCCTTCCTTGTCCTTCTCCTGCCACCAGGCAGGGAACAGAGGCAGCCGGGCCCACAGGCTCAGCTTTGTTGTGGTCTACTGTAATGGATTTGGCTTTCTGTGTGAGGTTAAACAAGCGACCGTACCGCTCCTGAGAGCCAGAGCTTAGGGAGGAGGGACGGCTGCTCTCTCTCCTCGGGGCAGCCCGCACCTCCTCACCTGTGTCCGCACAGCCTTGTGTTTGCCAGCGCAGGGTCTGTGCCTGACTTTCTCATCTGTACCTGGACAGAGAGGGACCCCTTGTGTTTTGGAAAAGTTAGAATCCTCAGCCTCAGGCAGCTCTAGGTAAGCAGCTAACATTCACAGGGCACCTACTGTTTCCTGGCATTACCACCATGTGTCTGCCTGCATAGGCCTCGTTTTTGTTTCTGCTAAAAGCCAACCCTTACAGCAAGGCAGCGCCCAGCTCCCCAAGACAGACTGTCTACTCCCACTTCTTCACTGCTCTCAGTCTCAGCCAAAGATGACATTTCTCTCCTTCCTTCCCTCCCTCCCTTCCTTCCCCTTTCCTTTTCTTTCTTTCTTTTCCCTTTTTCCTGGTGCTAAGGAGGGAACCCAGGGCTTCACAATGCTAATAAACACATGGTTTACCACTGAGCTACACCGCCAGCTCATGATGTTTCTTAATTTAGTGCTTATTTTGTGTAAAGCACTGTTCCAAACACAGTTACTCCTCCAAACAGTCCTCTCAGGCTGGTTACTTTTATTATCTTCTTTTACAAAAGAGGAAACTGAGGCACAGAAAGTTAGGTTTGCTGCCTGAATCACAAAATTGTTACATGTAAAAAGCCTTTACTATCAGTGAATTCCCCAAATCTCGTAACTTCTGCAGCTCCACATTCTGACCACCTGTTCTATTTTTATTTTATTTTATTTTTTGATACTGGAAATCAAACTCAGGACCTTGCGCTTGCCAGGCAGGCGCTTGTGCCACTAAGCTATATCCCCAGCCATGACCACTTGTTCTAAATTCCCTAGATCTGTCCCAGGATATGGGGTATCTGGGAAAGTGAGGGTGCTCCGCAAGGAATGGGTTGTCTGCCTGGGATGCACCCACCTGCGGGTCCCCTGGGCAACATCTCCACCGAAGTGGTCATCCTTTCCCAGTGTCTTCTGTCTTCAAAGGACATGCAGTAGACTCCTGGCCCTGCAGGTCAGTTAATTTCTGGGCCTCAGTTTCTTCTGAATTGCACAAGATGAACTGTGTCCAAGAGTCCAGAACAGGTCAGCTCTGAACCTCTTATCCCTCTGCCAAAGGACAGGTCCTGCATTCTGGCTACTTCAGAAATGGCCTCCTGCCTCCCCCCTCTCCTATCCCCTCCCCAGCTCGCGCCCCCGCTCCCTTGCGCTGCCTTGCACCCACAGGCCCCTAGCAGGAGAGCTCTGGAGGAGGGCCACGGGCAGGTGCAGAGCTGGTTGAATGTCACATGGCCCTGTCCCATGCACCCCTGTTCCACACACCAGCTTGGCAGAGGTGGCCAAGAACCGCAGCAGCCAAATCTTCAGCCTCAAGGCTCCGGGCAAACCAGGCCCCCAAGTCCCAGGGCCCTTGCCATGAGGCACAGCGCACAGCCGGCTCCAAGCTTAGCAAAGGGAGGCCCATGAGGCCCAGACTGACCTGACCCTGTCCGACCACAGCATCCCTTCTTCTAGTGATGCCTACTAATGCCTCCCATGGTGACAGACACCACTGGGGTCCAATCCGCCAAGCTAGCTTCAGATCCCAATTTCCAGAAGACGTGAGGCCCTGCACCTGGGCGGCGTCACAGTCTGGGAGGGAGGTGCAGCCCGCTCCTGTGTTAGACAAGGAAAGCTTGCCAAAATGCAGGTTCTGCGTGGCTGAGCCAGATTTAGGCCAACCTCTCCCCACGCCAGCACCCTGGCTCGTCCCATGTACAGCTGCCAGCTTCTAGGCTGAGGCTAGGAACCTTCCCTCTACACATTTTCATCAGGACAAGATGGTACCACACAGGGCTCCCTCCCTGGTTGATCCCTCACTCCCTGAGGCCAAGGTCACAATACACTAGAATCGCCTCCTTCAGCCAGGTGGCCAGCCCAGGTCTTCAGGACAGGGCAGGTGTCTGAACTGGGGTAGACATGGAGGCTCCGGGAAAAGGTTGATCAGAGAATGCTATGCCATGGTGGACACTGGGCACCAGGTGAGAAGGGCACCAGTTCTTCTCTCAGGACGCTGTCCACTGTGTTGATTGTATAGTCAACTATACAACTGTTAATATATCAACAAGAACGAAATACCCGCCTTGCCCACCTCTGGATGGTGAGATGATCAGAAAACAGTATGAAAGAACCCTGAGAAAACGTTAAACCCTGCTCAAAGGACTAGCTGTTGAATTTTGTTCAATGAGTTGGTGTGCAGGTACAGAATACATTACTCCAAGTAAAGGTAAAAACACCAGGCAAGATCTGGTTAAGGGTGTGGTGGCCTCGTCCACCTACCTCCTAATACAAGGCCCTGCCGGGACACAGGGCTGGGCCAGGCTGAGACACTGGGCCACAAGTGCAGTTTGTGCTCCAAAGTGGGCACTGAGAGCTGGGTGTGGTGGCGCATGCCTCTAATCCCAGCCCTCAGGAGGCTGAGGTAGGAGGACTGGAATGAGTTTGAGGCCAGCCTAGGCTACATAACAATACCCTGTCTCAAAAAAACAAAAAGGGGGCACTGAAATATTCCTCTCTCCCCAGGGCACCACCAGTCCCTGTGCCACCTGGCCTCTCCAGCATTTCAAAAATGTCCCTTACTGCTGCCCCTGAGGCTGGAATGGGCATCTGGCCGTGAAGCTCTGGGCCAACAGCGCCACCTAGGGCTAGACTCGAGCAGGAGACGGGGCCCAGAGGACCCGCCCGCAGATGAATTTTTTGGTGAGCTAGCCTCTCTCTCCCCCTCACTCCCTTGTAATCACATTTCTGCCTGGTATCTGTATTCGACAGTGACCTCTGGGGGACAGAAAGGAGGCAGCAGCCAGCTCCACAAAGTGCTAAGCTGCAGATTCAAATGCTATCAGAAGCATTTTTGTTCCCAGTTTGGACCCAGGGCCTCTTACGCCAGGGAATGCTTGCTGAAGCACAGAGTTTGTTTTCCTACAGGCAATTTCTCTGTTGTCTGAAATTGCTAAATTCCACTTTAGACACTGACTCCTGTTAATGATGAGAACAATAACGGGAATAAACTGCCTTTTATCTGAGGGCTTCAATGTGCTTTATAAACGCAAACCCTTATTATTATGACTTTATATTTATAGACAAGACCCACGGCAGGGGCCGCTGGCTGCATGTACAGCAATAATCTTGAAATTAATTCATTCATCTCCACCCCCTTCCCTGCCCCCTTAGCCCTGCCAGAGTGATAGGGTGTGGGGGGCACGAGAGAAGGGCAGAGCCCAGGGCTGCACAAGGGGACCCTAAAAGTTGCCCTGCTTTCCTGTGGGCCTCATGGACCTAAGAGAGGGAAGGGAGACCAGCATCACAGCATCAGGACAAGAGCAGCAGAGAGGTACAGGGCACACGTTGGGTAGCTTCATAGCTTATCGGTTGATAACTAAAAAACTCCCACTGGGGCCAGGGAGATAGCTCAGCAGCACAGCGCCTGCCTGGCAAGTGCGAGGTTGTGAATTTGATTCCTGGTACCAAAAAACAAAACAAAACAAACTCCCACTGGCCAGGCATGGTGGCACATGTCTGTAATCCCAGCACTCTGGGAAGCTGAGGCAGGAGAATAGCAGGTTTGAGCCCAGCCTGGGCAGTTTGGTGGCTTAGTGAGAGTCTATCTCAAAAAAAAAAATTAAAAAGGACTGAGGATGTAGTTCAGTGTAAAGGTCCTGGGTTCAATCCTTAGTATCACCAATATAAAACAAAAACCCAAACCTTCCACTGCAGGGCCTCAAGCATTTCACAGAAGCTGGCCCCACATGGTGCTCCGTCTGGCCCTGGCCAAGGCTTGTCATTGAAGGGCCTTCTGCAACCAGTCAGAGCTCCAGAAACTCCAGTGTGATCATTCTGGAGGCCACCTCTGTCCCTGCAACCCCACAATCTGCCTTCCCCCAGCAGGGCACAAAGGGAAGCTGAATACCTCCTTTGAAGCAGAATGTGAGCTGGGAGTGGTGCTGCACAGCTGTAATCCCAGCACTCAGGAGCCTGAGGCAGGAGGATCATTGCGAGTTCAAAACCAGCCTGGGTTACAAAGTGAGCTCAAGGCCAGCCTGAACTGCAGAGTGAGACTCTGTCTCAAAAAGACAAAAAAAAAAAAAAAAAAGAAAAGAAGAAACAACATGGGAAACTTCCAAGAAGCGAATGCATCTGCCCAGTATCCCTTAACCCAAGGAGGGACCAGGTTACAACTGCCCCATCCAGTACTGTAAAGTCTACAACTGCCACCTCAGACAGCCATGCCCTCCGGGGCATGGCTCCCTGCCAGCTCTGACAGCGGTGTCACCAATGGCTTGGATCCAGCCAGGAGGTTGAAGTCACAATAATGTTACAGTACAACAACTCAAGGTCATAAGTTAATGGCCATGTGATTCCTTATCCCCTTATTCATTCAACAGATGTTTACTGAGTCCACTCTGCCAGGTGCTACACAGACGTGCGTTCTAGCTCCCCGCCCAGACAAGCAGGTTACCTCACTCAGGCTGCTTCTGCAGACAGGAAGCCCTTCCACCTTCAGTGCTCTGCTGCCTTCCTCCCTCAGGGCTAGAGGAAGAGGCTGCTCTGCCTTCCCCGGTACACAGTGGAGGACGGAGCTACACCTGTACCCTGCGGCATGCACGGACAGACGCCCACGCACTACTTACTTTTTGTTGGTTGTCCTGACAATGATGCAGCGCTCCTTTGGGGCTACGCAGACACTGTAGACCTCCTTAGGGTAGGGGAGGTTCCGGATCCGCCACTGGAAAGTCATCTTGGTGTCCTTGCGCATGAAGATCGGCTGTGGAAGGCAAATCCAACCCAAGAACTGCTCTTGGGGAAGGAAGGGAAGGGATGTCTCCCACCCGCCCCAGAGCTCTACCCAGTTCTAGATGGGAGCCCTCGCTCTCCAAGCTCCCCTCTGGGCTGCGGGCCTCGCGCTGGGGAGACCAGGGTGCCCAGGGAGACCCTTCAGGCATTCGCTCAAACATGTCTGTGTCCAGGTGGGCATACTGGAGGTCAGGGGAGCACAAGGCGTGGTCCCTGACTCAGGGGCCGGCAGCCTGCCACCCAGGACCCCCGGACTTACGTTGGCACTGCTCTCCTTGATGAGCTCGGGCCCCAGGCTCCCTGCTCCTGGGGGTGCTGGCTCTCCCACTTCGAGCTGCCACTGGCCCAAGACTCCCAGGGCACTTCTCACACGCCACTTCCTCACTGGGGAGAGAAGCAATGGGATTACAGGAAGAACCATCTCTGCTCCGTCCTGCTGCGTCACCATCATCTCACGAGGCCACTGCAACATGACTGAAGCGGAGCTCTGTGCACCTGGGCGGCACGCGTCTGTGTCACAGGAGCAGAGCCCATCTCTCAGGCGCCCAGTCGGAGAAGCTGGGCAAAGCTCTGGGGAGCCAGGCAGAGTCTAGACACCCTCCCGAGAAGGCATCGAGCAAGGAGAGAGCCGAGGCTAGGAGCGATTTCTGGTAACGGTGTACCTAGATTTAACAAAAAAGCTCAGCAGCTATACGTAAACCAAATCTTGGACTGCACTGTAGCTCCGTGGTAGAGTCCTTGCCCAGCATGCACAAGGCCCTAGGTCCCATCCCCAGTACTGTAAAAGTGAATGAATAAACAAAAAATCTCAGGCACACATTATATTTTAAACGCACTACTTATAAAAGGTCTATGAGGGGCTAGGGGTTTAGCTCAGCGGCACAGCGCCTGCCTGGCAAGCGCAAGGTCGTGAGTTCAATTCCCGGTACCGGAAAAAAAAATCAAAAATAAATAAATAAATAAATAAATAAAAGGTCTATGAATTTGTATAAAATGATGTTTTATATTTTCAAATGTATAATGCAAAAAATCTATTTTTCTTTTTAAAAATCCAGATCTTTGCATAAGATTTTTAAAAATAAGGCACATATGTTAAGAAAATTTATAAACTACAGTAGTTCAGTGGCTATTACCTGGCAATCCTGCTGGGACTTCCAGGAAACCTGCTCAGTGCTGTCCTGGTAACTGCTATCCGGCAGCCAGCGCGACAGAGGCCTTCTCCACGCAGAGCCCCTGCACCCTGGCTGCCATGGGGGGTGCCCTTCCTGCCTGACCAGCAACCTCTGCAGCACTGCAAGCACTGAAGCATTCAGAAATGGCCCGCATGCGGCTGCGGTTGTTACACGTGTGGCCTCTTCCCTGGGCGGGGCAAGCTGGGGGTGACAGCACCAGGCCAGTTCTTAGCATCAGGCAGGCAGATGGTTACCTGAGCAGCTACACCAGCCCCACTGCTGCGAGGAAGGCGCGCAAGCTGAACACAAAAGCATGTTGTAAAGTTCAAGCTTTCCCTTGAATAGGAGCTCTTACAAGGGTCACTGCATTTGGCAGTGTAATTCTGTTATTTAGGGAAAAAAAAAATCTTTCTAGAAATCCATTTTCAAGTTTATAAAGAAAATAAGGAAGAGTAAAACTTGGAAATATATTTTATAGGCAACTTTCTCCTCTATGAATACTTAAGTAAATAGGCTGTGGTGAGGTATATAGACATCCAAACCCATTTACTGTAGTACTTCTCTTCACCAGAAGCCAGCAATCTGAGGAGCTCTGTGACAGTCACAGCTCAGAAATGACAAATACTCCCAAGCAGCAGCCTACTATAATGAGACCCCTGTGCCCTGTCCGTACTACAGGAAGGATCACTGTGGATCCTTATTTGAGCCATGAAACGCTATGTGCAGGCTGGGGTGTAGCTTAGTGGTAGAGCTGGTGCCTGGGATATGTGCAGCCCTGAGTTCGATCTCTGCAAGGAAGAAAAAAAAAAGCTATGTGTAGAGCATGTCCGGAAGCCAGGTGTTGTGGCTCACTCTCGCAGAAGGCCAAGGCAGGCGGATAACGAGTTTGAGCCCAGCCGGGGCAACGGAGTGAGACTTAGCGAGATCCTGTCTCAAAAAAAAAAAAATGGCCGGGATGTTGTGCAGTGTGAAGGCCCTGGATTCAATCCCCGGTACCACAAAGGAAAAACAAAAGGCAAGAAATTAATTTTCCCCAGGCAAAATGACAACAGTTATCAGAGGGCAGCTCCCATGGGGAGGCAGAGTGACACAGGCACTTGGGACAGCTTAGTGTGTGGGCACACCAGCACCTTGGTCCCCGGCAGCAGCGCTACGTAAGACAGCACAACTGCCCCAGGTTTGAAGGGTGGAGGCTCCTCTAGAAAGCACCTAGTCCAGTGTGTGCAGCTTTTCCCCCGATGCCTACGTGTTTAGCATGAGAACTAGCATTTCTTCCCCTGCCTGCTCACCTGAGACCCTGGCCACTCCTTTCTAGGGGACAGAGTATGAAAAAGTACCAAGGAACAAAGAGGTCAATTTACAAAGGTCATAGTTAAAATCCAGAATTTGAATCATTAATGAAAGGCTACAATGTAGTCTATAATTGTTCAATAAATATATAATATTTAAAAATATTTCTTTAAGTAGCCCTATTTTTTTTTTTCTATACTGGCCTTTAAAAGGCAGAACTAGGCAGGTGTGGTGGTGCACACCTTTAATCCCAGCACTCAGGAGGCTGAGGCTGGAGGATCACTTGTGAGTTCAAGGCCAGCCTCGGCTACATACAGACACTGTCTCCAAAAAAATGGCAAAACTTTGGTTATCTGAAAAAGTATTAATCACAGGGAAAACCCAGTCTTCTGGGGCCAGGAACATGAGATGCCCCTGTAATCGTGGATCCTGGTAAACTGGATGTCTAGAACTAAGTGCCAGTGCGGTCCGAAGAGGCGGTGGCCACTCCAGGACCTCCTGTCCCTCACTTCTGACCTTAAGAGGTTCTCAGGTCACAGAAGCGTGGCACCCTTGGCTGTTTCATCTTTTTTGAAGGCCCTGGGAACTAAGTAATTTGTTACCTGAATGCAGAAGGCAGTTTCCCTTTCCAGTCCCTCAAGAGTTAAGACCCAGTAACCATCTTGGCACAGTCCTGTTCTTCCCAGGCATGCGGGCCTGTGTGCACACGCAAAACACACGCTTTGCCTTGTCTTGTCCCCGTCTTTGTTCCTGAACTCAAGGACAGCTCCTGCGGCAAGAGAAGACTGTTTCCACCTGCTGTCACTCTGATCTGATTACGTGCTAAACCCGAACAGTGGGCAAGGCGGCTCCCTGGGACCAAGGCCAGTCCTTGGGAAGGACACTGTCCCCGACCCAGCACAGGGCCTGGGAGCGCGAGGAGCACCTGGGGGCATTTTCCTAAGTCAGCGGGAAGCATGCTGATGTCCCAGACTGCAGCAAGGGGCCTCGTCTTTCAGGTGGGCTGGAAAGCAAAGGTCCTAAAGGCCTCTCTTCCCGAGCTCCGCGGCCTGGCCCACTTCCAGTGCGGATAATTACATTCCCCTTTCCTAAATGCTCCCTGCAGCTTAAACTGGATGCAGAATTCTTCTTTTCTGCCCTAAAACACTGCAACATTGCTATGTGGCTATTAAACAGCTGCCGCGGCCCATCCCTGAGGAGGCTGAAAGGAATCGAGTGGGTCATTTATAAAGCTGCTGAAGTGCCTGGGGATGAAAGTGCTCAATATCCTCCGAGTGCGGCCCAGGGTGGGTAGGCTGGCGGTCAAATACCAAAGCAGATTAAGCGGTAATCCGAATGTAATCGCTGGGGGATGGCCTGCCCTCCAGCCTCTGCCCCCCGACATGCTGTGTTCTTCTGGGGCTGGTTTGATGTTCCGATCATTGTTAGGAGGCCTTTCGGTCTATTCTTCTATGAATACATACAGCATTCATTGTGGGGGGTGGGAATGAATAGCCCTGAAAGGGCAGGAAAAAGATGACACTAACATGCTCATTAACACCCGCTGGAGGGACTTCGTCCCAGACAGAGAGATGCACACCTATTGGCAATTCTTCCTCTGTAAATTACCTTCTGAGCTTTTGTAACAGAAAACCAGCCTGGCCAATTATCAAATTTGTTTAGTTAGTTAGAAAAATCAAAACTATTTCCACTTACTGTCACAAAAACTATGTCCATATTTTACTTCACAGTATATACAAGCAAAAGCCAGGCTGGCCCCCTGGGGTTATTTATACTTAAAAACGAACAGCTGGGCACAGTGATACATGCCTATACTCCCGGCTAAGCAGGAGGAGAAGACAAGAGGTCACTCGAGCGCAGGAGCTTGAGGCCAGCCTGGGCTACAGAGTGAAGTCCCATCTCCATAAGATTAACAGAGGTATTTTGCAAGGGCAGCTGAGAGGGTCTGGGGGAGAAAAGGTGTAAGAAATGGATCCACTGTCCACAGGCTGGACCCAGTGGCTGGAGAGGGGTTCCTGCTGCTCATCAGTGGCCCACCCAGGTCATCCTGTGGACAGAAATATTTAGTAAGAAGAAAGTGGGATTTAATAATTATTAACTGCCAACACTATGTTGTTGTGCATGAAAGCACAGACCCTTAAGCAGACAGAACAATGCTAAGTCTTCTGGCTCAGAAACTAACCAGCTATGTGAGTCTGAACAAGGTCTTTGAGCTTATGTTTTTCCAACTGTAAAATGGGGACAACTACCTATGTCAGAGAGCTTTACTGAGATCATTCATGTAAAGCACTGGGCCTGATGCCCAGGGAGAGTTATGGGGTTAATGTCATTACCAGGCAAACTTCAGCCACGCAGCTCTCTCCCCATCAGCAGCAGTGGCCTGAATTTTTGCTTGCAAAAAACCAGTTCGGAGCCCGTGACTCGCCCCACGTGCCACTAGAAGTAATAGGTTAATATGGGATCCTGGGGCACAGAGTGCTACAAATGAATCTGGACTTGATTTTAATTTTAATTTCATGTCCAAAGACAACAAAGAGGCCTAGGCTTTATTTGTTTTTACAGTCACAGCAGCTAGAGCTGCTTTATCTGCTCTGCGTAGGGGAGAGACGGGACACTGGGGGCTGGGCCGAGGAGCTGGGCCGGTCTGCGGCCCAGTTCTGGTCGAGGTTAGCCCACGTGACCTCTGCTTTCATGCGCTCTCCCCTGTTAGGCATTCCAAGGCTGTCACCCCCTGGGAGCACTATAAATTACAATGCAATTGTGAGGATATTACTACTGTATTGGTTTCCACCGAATCAGTGTCATATGCTAAACACATCAAGATTTTTAATAGCACCAGACTAAACCAATTGGGACCGGAGCCCAAGCAGCTCATAATAAGGAGGGATCAACACTTTTCTCTACAACTGAACATGCGCAGGACACGCATTCTAAGACTGGAGACTAACAGAATGCAAACCAGTATAATCCATGTTGTCGGTTTGGGACATTTATGAGCTGTCAGAAAAAGGGAAAAAGAAATTCCCTCACTAATACTACATGTCGATCAGGCCCAGGAAGAAATTAAAGTCAAGAATAATGACAAGAAAATAATGCAGCCCATGATTCCATCGTTGGTCTTAGCATTTCAGGTGCAACTTAATAAAGAGACCAAGTCCCAGTGCTGACAGCCTTAGACTGGGGTCACAGAGCCAGGCACCTTGCTCTGGGAAGTGGTTCGTGCTGCTGTGCATACCTGGAAACAGAATGGACAAATCAAACACTTCCCAGAAATCTGAGCAGGAACTCTTCCTGAGCCTGTTCTTAGAGGGAAATGACAATGCGGCACAATCACCGTTTCTACTCTTTGATTCACTCTTTAAGATGATTTTTTTTTTTTTTTTCTGAAAAAAGGAGATTGGAGAGTACACTGGAAAATGGAAAGACATCCCCTGTTCCTGGACAGGCAAAACCAACATTGTCAAAATGACCATACTTCCAAAAATGATATACAGATTTAATACAATCCCAATCAGAGAGCCAACAACATTCCTCACAGAAGTAGAGAAAACAATCCTAAAAGTCATACGGAACCAGGGAAGATCCAGATTAGTAAAAGCGACCCTGGTAACAAGACCAAAGCAGAAGGCATCACAATCCCAAATTTCAAGTTATATTACAGAGCTACAGTGATAAAAACCATAGGCATAAAAACAGACATGTGGATTAATGAAACAGAGGACTCCGAAACAACCCCAGCAACAACTCAAGACGCATGCAGCCACCTGATCTTTGACAAAGGGGCCAAAAACAAATGCTAGAGGAAAGATAGCCTCTTTAGCAAATGGTGCTGGGAAAACCGGCTTTCCACATGCAGAACATCTAGACCCACATCTCCCTCCATGTACCGAACTAAAATAAAAATGGTTCAAAGATGTAAACATTAAAACAGAAGCTCTTAACCCGTTGGAAGATAAGGTAGGTAAAACTCTTGAAGTCATAGGCAAAGGCAAGGACTTTCTGAACAGAACCCCAATTGTGTAAGAAATAACATCAAGAGTGCACAGGAGCTGGGGATTTAGCTCAGTGGCAAAGCGCCTGCCTGGCAAGCGCAAGGTCGTGAGTTCGGTTCCCAGTACCGGAGAAAAAAAAAAAGAGTGCACAGCGAATAACAACAACAAAACCCAACAAACAAACACCAACAGAGAGAAGAGATAACCCATATAATGGGAGAAAATTTTTACCAGCTACTCCTCAAAGGACTATCATCTAGAATACATAAATAACTAAAAGAATCAGGTTCCCCCCCATTTAAAGACCCAGTCCAAAATTGGGCATCTGAAATTAACAGACATTTCATGTATGAAGAGGTACAAACAGCAAATATATGAAAAAATGTTCACCATCACCATCACTGGTCATTTGAGAGATGCAGGTTAAAACAACACCGAGATTCCAACTCACCCCAGAAAGAATGGCTTTCATCAAGCAATCAACCAGCAACAAATGCTGGCAAGGCTTGGGGGAGAAAGAACCCTTCTCCACTGGTGGTGTGAGTATCGACTGGTACAACTAGTATGGAAATCAGTATGAGTTGCTCCAAAAACTAAAACTAGAGTCCCATTTGACCCAGCTGTTCCCTACTAGGGATCTTCCCAAGAGAGTTAAAAGTTTTGTGGCACAGCAACATATGCACACCCATGTTTACAGCAGCACAGTTTGTAACAGCTACATCTTGGAAACAACCCATATGTCCCTCAACAGATGAATGGATAAAGAAAATGTGCTATTTATACACAGTGGCGTACTGCTCTACCCATAAAGGATGTAAATCGATACACCTCAAGACCATAATTTTAAGTAAAATAACATACAAGTTTAAATATCGCACTGTTTCTCTTTGTGAGAAACCCAAAGGGAAAATAAGGAGCAAAATGGAGGGCAGATATTGAGAAATACGAAGAACATGTTCAGAGGGGAAACCAGGGTGGAAGGAGGGAGAGAAGGAAAGGAAAAGGAGGAAGGAGAATGGAAGGAAAAGACAGAAACAAAGCCTTTGTAAATGGGGAGGGAAGAGGGGCTGAAGGAAGGGAAGGAGAGTGGGAAAAAAAGAATTGAGACACATTATGTACAATTCCCCATCGTCAATGTGACCATTACATATAGAAAATATGTACTAACAAAGCAGCAACAAAAGGATCAATGAATGGGACCCTGTCAAATTAAAAAGCTTCTGCACAGCAAAGGAAACAATCAACAAAGGGAAGAGACAACCTACCAGGTGGAAAAAAAAATTGCCAGCTACTCCTCAGACAGAGGATTAACAGCTACAATACACAAAGAACTCAAAAAAACTAAAACGCTGTGCCCCAGGATAAATGACCCAAGTGGGCAAGTGAAATGAATAGACAGTTCTCAGAAGACAACGTATAAATGGCCAATAAATACATGGAAAATTGTTCCACAGCTCTGGCCATTAGAGAAATGCAAATTAAAACAATACTGAGATTCTGTTTATTTCAGAAAGGAAGGCCATCATCAAGAAAACAACAATAACAAATGCTGGTGAGGCTACGGGGAAAGGAGCCCTTCCACACTGTTGTTAGGGGTTAACTAGTATAGCCACTATGGAAATGAGTGTGAAAGTTCCTCAAGAAATTTAAAACAGAAATTCTACTTGACCCAGCTATTCCCTTTCTAGGTACCTTCCTGAAAGGAGTTAAAAACATCACATTACTGTGATACATTCACACCCACTTATAGTAGCATAATTCATAAAAGCTAAATTGTGGGTGTGACCTATATATATGTCCATCACCAGACAACAGATAAAGAAAATGTGGCATTTACACACAATGGAGTACTACTCTGTCATAAAGAAGGATAAAATTACGTCATTTGTAGGACAACAGATGCACCTTGAATCCATAATGTGAAGTGAAATAAATCAGACATAAGATTAAAAAACATAGGGTTTCTCTTATATGTGATACCCAAAGTATAAGTAAAAGCAAAATACAAGCTAGACAATAGGAAATGGGGAGATCGATCCTTGGCAAATGGGAAGGGGACTAAAAAATGGGGGGGCGGTGTAAAAAGAACTAAAATGTGTCATGTTCCAGCTACCCACGATGAGTGTATCTCCTTCGTACCGCAGACATGTTCTAATGAAAAATACTACTCTACAAAGAATAAAAAGATGAGAATGTCTGTTTTGTTTTTTTAAGTACCGGGGACTGAAACCAGAGCCTTGTGCATGCTGCGCAAGGTTTTCACTGAGCTACGCAGGTCCGCAGCCCTTTTCATTCTGAGATGGTTTCACTAAGTTGCCCAGGCTGCCCTGAAACTTCTGACCCTCCTGCCTCGGCCTCTGGGTACTGGGGTGCAGCATGGTGCCTGTTCAGGGTGCTGTTGAACCGCGCTGCTTGAGGCGAGGTCAGAAGCCTCCGCCCGGCACTCTCTTGCTCGTGGAGAGGCTCCAGGGAACAAAGCCAGAAACAAGCAAATGCCCGGCCGAACCGCTCCTCACTCACAGGGCCCCTCGGACGCCGTCCCGCCCGCGGCATCTCGACTGCCCGCTGGGGACTACTCACCCTCTCACTTGTCTGCGAGTGGTGACGGGCTCCACGCCCCAAGGGCTCCCACTCCACTTCCAGGAACCGTCTACGTTTCCTGCTGGGCTCTTCCCTCAACCCCACAGCTGGAAACACCCTTCTAGGCGTCCGTCAGCCCCAAGTCCTGAAGGTCCCGGGGGCCTGCCACTTACCGAGCAGTTCACTCGTCTTCTCGTCATATTCTTCCGCCATTTCCTTCCCATCTGGGAACAAATAATGCACCTTTCTTCTTCCTACATGCAAAGCAGAGGGCGCCTCTTCTCAGAGCACTCCTTTGTCCCGCCCTCACCGAAGGAGGAAAGGGCGGCCCCCAGGATACTGGAAAACCAGGCCCCAGCGCCTCACATGAACTCCCTACGACCATCACCCACCCTTACTTAGAGCCGTGCGCCTGAGCTCACTTCCTCTCTGAAGCTTTCTCTGAGCATCTCTGCTCGGCTGTTTCCTCTACCAGGAACAGCGCCACACCTCTCCCCATCTGCAGGGCTCCTCACCCCTCACAACCCCGCCACAGGTCACTGCCGTGGCGAAGTCTCCCGAACTGTCACCTCCGGCCACCTTGGAAGAATTAACCACTTCCTCACCTGGGCCTTCTACTGCTTTATTCATATCCACGGTGGAGCATCTATCACATAGTGTGGCATTTTTAAACGCAATGTGAACATCAAATGTCTTTCTCTCCCTGGTTTCTAAAATTAGACTACGTGCTCAGGATCTCAAACAAGGCGTCCAGAGCCAGTTGTCCTCCAGCCCTGCACTGTTCTCTCTTCTTCCGCACATCTCTAGGCCATTTTGTTTTTTTGTCTTTTTGAGACAGGGTCTCACTCTGCAGTTCAGGCTGGCCCTGAGCTCACTTTGCAGCCCAGGCTGGTCTCGAACTTGCAACCATCTTCCTGCCTCAGCCTGTGAGTGCTGGGATTACAGGCGTGCGCCACCACGCCCAGCTCTAGGCCATTCTTGTATTTTTTTTTCCTTTTTTTTTTGAGAGGGGTCTCATTATGTAGTTCAGGCTGGCCTCAAACTCATAGCGACTCTCTTGCCTCAGCCTTCTGAGTGCTGGGCATGCGCCACACCTGGCTTCTAGGCCATTCCTGAAAGAATGAATAAACACTGATGTACCTCATCCACTGAAAGAACAGACAAATCCAAGGAAGTTTCCTAGCCCAACTCCTCTTCCCATGCAGTATCATCACAAGCGTTTGCTTGAGGGCTATGTAATTTCCTCCCTTCTGCAGACAGGTTAGTAGACACAGGAAGACAAATGGCTCTAATGCCTAGTAGACTCATGCCCTATGTAAGCTTCGCGAGTAAGAGCCCTGTGGTGGCTTTTTTCATCTAAATCACTCCTCTAAATCATTACTCTGGGACATGGTTCCCTTGAGTCATTCCTAATTTCTGTTTCAGGAAGATTCACCCCATATGAGAAGGGCCTCTGGGCAGATTCCTAGGATCCATCACACTAAACCATCTGGATGTTCCCAAGAGCTAGAAGAGGCTTTCCTGTCAGGAAGCGGGTACACAGTGTGGCTGGTGAGTAGCTGAGGGGGTCTGGCCAGGACATCCTTCCTTCTTGGTGTCCAGTCTTGAGTTCAGGTAAAATGCAGTATCCAGCTGGGCCTGATAGCGCACACCTGTAATCCCAGCACTCGGGAGGCTGAGGCAGTTCGAGACCAGCCTGGGCTACAAAGTGAGTTCAAGGACAGCCTGAACTGCAGAGTGAAACTCTGTCTCAAAAAGCCAAAAAAAAAAAAAGAATGCAGTATCTACTGTCACCTCGGGCACTTCACATGTTTTATCGAATTTTAGTCTCATGATAATCCAACCCGCCTCCTATACATCAGAGATGAGGAAAACTGAGATGTAAAAGGCATGAAACTTGTCCAGGGGGCCGGGGATGTAGCTCAGCGGCACAGTACCTGCCTGGCAACCTCAAGGTCCTGAGTTTGATTCCTGGTACTCAAAAAGAAAGAAAAAAGAAAAACAAATAAACACACTTGTCCAAGACCATAAGGCTAGGAAGTAACAGCTGGGGGTTTAAATCCTTTTGGGGCCAAAGTCCAGGTTCAAATAACTGGACTAGAATAATGTGTATGGCTTTAAATATCTGTAAAACTGAACACTATTCCAAGTGTTGACTGGACATTTTTTAGTGAGTCACTTATTTATGCCCTATATGCCACATCCCTTAGGAGAGCACGTCTACAGGTGGTTTGATAAAGCATATCCATGTACTCAATATTGTCTTATTGTTTTGGTTTGAAAAACAAGCTTAGCAACATCACTTTTGATGCTACAAACAAAAGTATTTAACACATCCTGGCTGGTGAAATATTTGTTTAGGCTGGGCATGGTGGTACATGCCTGTAATTTCAGCACTCGGGAGCATGAGGCAGGAGGATCACCATGAATTTGAGGCCAGTCTGGGCTACATAAGTGAGTTCAAGGCCAGCCTGATCTGTACAGTGAGACCCTGTCTCAAAAAAAGAAAAAAGAAATATTGCTTAAACACTGTCCTGTTACCAACAGCAGTAAAAGCAGGGACTTAAACAGATATTTGTACATTTGTGTTCACACCATTAGTCACAATATTCATCTGCGGCATCTGCCAACAGATGAATATTATATATCTACGTACACACACACACACACACATATACACACATACATATACGTACACACAGTGGGGATATTATTCAGCATTAAAAAGGAAGGATATTTTGACACATGCTAGAAAGACAAACCTTGAAAACATTATACTACGTAAAACAAGCCAGTCATAAAAGGACAAATACTGATTTCCACTTTCATCTTATATAAGGTTCCTAGAACAGTCAAATTCATAGATACAGAAGAAAGGTGATTGCCAGTGGCTGTGGGGAGGAGGGAATAGGGAGGCAGGTTTAATGGTTAAAGACTTTCAACTGAGAAAGATGAAAAGGTTCTGAAGGTGGATGGTCTGATGGATGTACAACAATGTGAGCGTACATAGTTCACCTGAATCACACACTTAAAAATGGTCAGCCTGGTATATTTTATGGTATGTGTTTCTCACCATAATAAAAAACAAAGCCACCGTCTTATGAGATAATGCCCAGAATCTCCTACATGGCATAAGAGATTACAATTGCCCCAATTTACCTGCAGTTTCTCATTGTCCACCATTTCTCCTCATTGCTCCTTCAGAAAAGGAACACTCTTACTCACCCTTGCATCCCAGTACCTAGTGCAGTACCTGAGTAGATGGTTCGTTATGACTAGTGAATGCTTTCACATCACTAAATGTTGTGCTATTGCTCGAGTAACCAGCTGTAAACTTTCACACATCCATGCCTTTACATGTACACAAGTCATTCTTCCTCAAATAACAATCCCTCTACGTTTATTAAACACCATTAATTCCACAGGACCCAGAATATCACCTCACCTATTTCTTCTTTTCTTCTTTTTTTTTTTTTTCGTACTGGGAATCAAACTCATGACCTCAGGCTTGCCAGGCAAGTGATTATGCTGCGAGCTACATCCCCTGCCCTCACCTATTTCCAAAGAGACGATTATTTCCATCTTCTTGCTCTGGTGACATTTCACACAAGGTTCCAACCTCTACTGGACACACACTATTATTTATTTCTATGTCTTTTTCCTGACCACTCTGTGAACTCTGAGAACATGTCCTTTTCTATCTGCTCTAGTACAGAGCTTAGTACACAAAGTTTCCCTAAATCTTGCACAAATGAATGAGCAGCTGATCTTAACTTCCACAAACTCCAGGCTTCTTTGATTGGCCTCTACCTGTGAGTCCCCAGCTGTTAGCCTTAAAGCCTCAGAAATTCAGACCCAATTCTGCTGGGTCCAGGAAAGAACCCTGAAGCGAGGGGGTGGGGGACGGGAGGGCGCTACACTAGCCAATTCTAGCGTGGAAAAAAGCCAGGGCTTAACAGCCCCGTGCCAATTCTTCCAGGCACAGCCTCTGGTCCTTGTTCTATCTCCCCTAAAGACCCGAGGACCACTGAGAGATTCACTTCACAACGTAACTACACAGCCGAACAGACTGGCGATAACAGTGGTAGCAATTAATGCGGAGGAACTAGCGCCCAGTTTCCCACCTCTATGACCCCGGGCTGGCATCAGCCATAGAAGCCCCGGACTGAGGGTCACGGTCCAGGGCAGGATCCACTTCAGCATCCACTGGCCGGGGCGCTGGGGGCGCTGGGCTGGCCTAAAACCGTCAGTTCCCTCGTCAGTAAGCCAGCGTGGAGTAAGGAGCAAATGGGAAAGCGAATATGAAAAGAATGTATTAACAACAAAATTCAAAGCGAGGCGAGGCGGTGTAGGGCAAACGGGGGCGTCCAGAGAGGTGGGATCCGGTCCTGTCATCTCTCTGGGCCTCGGTTTCCTCATCTGCAAATACAGGAGCTGGCCCGGCGGACGGCCCACTCGGGCCCTGAAGCCCTTCCCGGGGCTCCAGCGCAGGGGCCCGGCTCCCGGGGGAAGAGAAGAGGGAACTTGCGTTACCGTCCTGCAGCAACGCCGTCTTCTCCGCAGCCCGCAGACTCTCCAACCAGCCGGTCACCGCCATCTTCACTACGCCCAGCCGCGCGCCCGGCCGCTGTCATGGTAACGGCTCCACCGAGGATCACTTCCGGCTGACCCGGAAGGTGTTTGGGCATTTGCCTTTCCCTCCCATTCCTTATTGGTTCCCATTGGCTCCCCTGGTAAGTGGCTTATTTCCCTTTGCCAGGAGAACGCCCAGCCAGAGGTTGAGCCCGTCCGGGCCGAGGCTGTGCGCGGGACGCCGGCCCTCCTGTCACTCGCAGCTGGGCGTCCCTGGCGCACGCCAGCTGCGCTCGCGGCGGCTGCCCCGCACCTGCCCTGGCGTTCGCACCCAGCTGTGCGGCTGAGGCTCCCCAGTCCCAGAGGGCACCCCACACCTGCTGCGGCCGCGGCCGCGCCCCGTCTACCTGCAGCTGCGGGCCGACACCCCAGCAGAGAGGCAGGAGGCGGCGTTGCCGGTGTCCCGGGGAAGCCCTCCTGTCCCCCGCCTCTGCGAGAGTACGTCGGGAGTAGAGCGGGACTGTGTGGGGTTTCTGTAGGGTGCCCTCCCGACTCCTCGGGAGAGGAAGGCCTTCCTAACGCCGTGGGTCCGTTTCCGAGCCTGGCGTCTCTGGCAAAAGCCTTTGAGAGTACGGTGCAGCTGGAGCAGAGCCTGAGCGGAGGGGCAGAACAACTCTTCCGAAGCAGGACACTGTTTCCTTCCCCAGGAGCTCCAGCTTTTCCTTCGCCTCCTCCAATACTCTACCTTTGAAAGGCGGCTGAGCATAGAGGCAGGCTTAAGGCACAGAAGCATAGTTGGATTTTCAGAGACCCCTGGGCACTTCTGGGCTGCTGTGCGTGAGGCCTGGTCAGGAGAGACCCCCAGCTCTGCAGGCAAGAGTTGGGGCATCCAGCTTGGGATTTCTCCGCGATACCTGCCCTGACCAGGCCTTAGACAGAGGAGCCAGGGTACAGCCGTAGGTCAATGGACCCCAGGGGCATCTTAAAAGCATTTCCCAAGAGAAAGAAAATACATGCCAGTCCACCATCAAGTGCATCTGCAAAGATCCCCAAGAGGCAAGAGGAAGAAGCAGGAGGTGAGCTGCCACACCCTCAGCACTCGTGCACTTGACCCTTGGCCTCCGCGTTGCTCAGTCCTACATGATTCCTCCAGAACCAGAGAGTGGAATTGATGCTGCCTGTCCAGGGTGGACAGGTTCCTTTGTGCCTGCCTTTGCTAGCCTTGGTCCCCTGTTTTTGACTGGCTGTGCTCCCTTCTTCCCCACCTCATGACCTCCACGAGTCAGAAAATTCTCCCGGGTCCCTCAGGCAATGACCGGTAGAATTCTTTGCTCTCCCAGGAGACTGTCCTAAGGGCAGAAGAAATCCCCTTGGTATCCTTGTTGTAAGTTTTTTTGCAATCAAGTTGACAAACAGATGGCTGGAGTAGTGACACGTGCCTGTAATGCCAGCCCCTTGGGAGGCTGAGGCAGGAGGATTGAAAGTTCGAGGACAGCCTGAACAACATAGTAAGAGCCCATCTGAAAAAACCAGATAGATGGCAGAGACTTTATGGGAGGCTGGGAATGGGAATCAGTTCTGCTAGGCTGTGGAATAAGGAAACATACGTTTTTGAAAGCGTAAATGACAAAGCAGAGTAGTTCAAACCAGGGAGGAAGCATGTGTTTACTCATGTATTTAGCAAATATTTATAGGTTACCAGCAACATGCCAGGCTGCACTAGGGGACAGGACATGTAAAAATGTTTATGCTTTACTTCCAAGTGGTGCTCATGAGGAAACGGGGCTGTATGCGTGTCAGAGAATCCCTAGAAGGCAGGCTGTCTGGGTGCAAAGAAAATGATTCGGGGGAGGGGACTGAAACTGGTTCATTCTGATCACATCTAAAAGTTGTGAAATAGGTGCCTGGATGTCCCCCCCACAGGATGGATGAGCTCTCTGAGGGCCCACGTTGTGCCCACCGGCATTGGACGGGCCCGGGCAGAACTCTTTGAGAAGCAGATTATCCAGCACGGTGGGCAGGTTTGCTCTGCCCAGGCCCCAGAGGTCACGCACATCGTGGTGGACGAAGCCATGGACTGTGAGCGGGCCCTGCGCCTCCTCAGACTGCCTCGGCTGCCCCCGGGGGCTCAGCTGGTAAAGTCAGCCTGGCTGAGCTTGTGCCTGCAAGACAAAAGGCTGGTGGACACAGCCGGCTTCTGCATCCCCATCTCCAGCAGGTGAGCTAGCCTTAGTCTTCTCTCAAATGTTCTACGGCAGCGTCTTTAGCTTTTTCTCGAGTTATTCAGAAGAACTATTGCTTTTTAAACTGGACACATTAGAAAACCAAGCTTTTGGAGTAGAGAGGGATTGGGGTCAGAGATAGGGTGAGACCTTTGGTGTCCTAACTTCTGTCACCATCTTCCCAGGTACTTGGACCAATCACAGCCCAGCCAGGCAGACCAAGACTCTTCTGCTCCTCATGGGACCCACGAGGTTCTGCTGAAGACAGCTGTCTCTCCTCCCAGTAGAGCTGTGTCTCCTCCCCAGAAGGCAGAAGAGGCATCAAGTACCTACGCTCAGGTCAAAAACCTTCTGGTCCCCATAGCTCCCTTCCCCGATTGCAGAAATGGGGAGAGCCTGGTGGTAGTTCAGAAAGTCCCAGGCACCTGAGACAGGAGGTCTCTCTTGATTATGAAACCATTTAGCTCTTCCCAACACTCCTCATTCCTATGTTCACCGAAGCCATGACTACCACATAGCCGGGGATCTGGAAAGCGCTGGGGAAGGGAACACTGTTAAGGGTGCACAGTCCTTATCCATGCATCTGACTGGACACTCCCTACAAAGACAACACCCATTTTCAAGGAGCCCCCTTCATGAAGGGAATAATTTATTATCTCTTTTCCTTCCCTACCTCAAGCCCAGCTCCGATGATGAAACCAGTGATGTGGAAGGGCCCCCTGTGAGTGCAGCTGATCTGGAAGCTCTGATCCGGGGCCACTACCCCACCCCACCTGAGGAAAACAGCGGGCCCAGCCCAGCCCCAGAGACCCTGGCTAAGTGGGTCTGTGCACAGCCCTCCAGCCAGAAGGTGACCAACCACAACCTACACATCACAGAGAAGCTGGAAGTGCTGGCCAATGCCTACAATGTTCAGGGAGACAAATGGAGGGCCCTGGGTTATGCCAAAGCCATCAATGCCCTCAAGAGCTTCCACAAGCCTGTCAGCTCCTACCAGGTACCTGGGGGCTGGAGCGGTATATGTCTGTGTGTGTCTTCTCTTTATAGCCACCAGTTGCCAGTGGGCTTGAGGTCCTGTGGTTCAGATTTTATGATGCCTGGGTGTCTTAGTCACTTTATCATTGCTGAGACACAGTACCCAACACCTGCAAGGTAAGGAGAGCTGTATGTTGGGTCACAGTTACTTTCATGGTCCACGGGCTCCAGGGCAGAAGAGATGGCAGAGGGCCCTAACAGAGGAATGCTGCTTACATCATGGCAGCCAGAAGCAGAGAGAGAAGGGACAAGTCAGGGAGGAAAACACAAGCTTCCAGGTCATGCCCCAGTGGCCCACCTCTTCTAACGAGACCCAGCAACTTACATTTGCTTATGTCCTGCCAGCGGCTCAGCTATAGCACCCACACGGTCCAATCCCCTTACAAAGGCCTTGCCTCTGAGTGCATGAGCCTCTTGGGGAACATGTAGATACAAACCATAACATTCAGTCTCTGACTCCCAAAAGACTCATATGCCAAAGTCTTAATAGTTCCAGCACTACTGAAAAGTAGAAGTCCCAGGTGTCCTCTGAGGCTCAAGGCAAACCTTAGCTGTGAACCCCTTTAAAAATCAAGAAGAAGGTTAAACAGAGCAGATATATAATGGTACAGGGTAAATATACCCATTCTAAGAGGACTATGGGGAGAGGAAGAAATCAGACCAAAGCAAGACTGAAACTGTAAGCCAACATACACCTCTCCTTAACTTGCAGGTGTTGGGTACTGTGTCTCAGCATCTTATTATCCTGATACAAAGTCCTTGACTTTATTTGAATGCTAACCTTTTCAACAGCCAAGCGTTCCTTAGACAAAAGTTTACAGGCCCCACTTTAACAGGCCTCAGCTTTATAGGAGCTGCCTTTCTGGTCACCAGCAAAATTTTTAAAACTATTCAACTCTGCTTTTTGATCCTGCTTCTCACAGTAGGTATGGCTGAAATTTAACAGTACCCATTCTATATCCTCAACACTGGGCTGCCTGAAACTTTCTCTGCCACATTCATTAATCCCACACCCTTAGTCTCAGTCTCCTGTGAAGTCCCAGGACATAAGCAAAGGAAGACCAGTTTCCTGCCAGAGCATAACATACATGATCTCAAGCCCAACTGACAATGGGATTTTGCTCCCAGCTGAAGCCTCCTATGCCTAGCCTTTACCTGTAGAATTCCTGTAGGATTTTGGTCTTCTGAACTTTGAACAGAATCAAACTTGGCTTATGGCATTCTAAGATTTCCCTAGCCACCATTTCCAAATATTTCCACACTCTCCCTGCAAACCAGGTCCAAAGGCTTCTGAGACACATGCTCAGGTCAGTCACAGCAGTGACCTTACGTCCCTGGCACCAGAATCTGTCTTTCAACCATTTTCTCATGGCTGAAACAGCACCTGGCACCTACAACTTAAAGAAGAATTGGCTCCCAGTCACAGCTTATGACCATGGGCTTCAGGGCAGAAACAGATGGCAGAGGGGCCTGGTAGAAGAGAGCTGCTCTCTACATGACAACAGAGAAGGAGCAAGCCAGGGAAGGAGACACCCACTTCCAGGTCATGGCCCCTGTGACCCCCTCTTCCAACCAGACCCAGCTCTTGACAGCAGGTTCCAGCATGGCCCCGTCACCTTCTGGAAGCCCTGCCTCTGAGCACACACAGCTCTCAGAGGACATCCAGCTATAAACCATAAATACTAGGGTTTGCATAAAAGAAACAAAATGGGAGTGTAATGAATGTGGACAGGCACAATCGCGATAATTGTTAAAGGTGGGCAATGGGTGTGTGAGGGTTCATTATGCTGTTCTCTTTACATTTGTGTGTTTTTTTATCAAAAAAAATTTTTTTAAACAACAGTTTAGTACTGGGCATGGTGGCACACACCTGTAAGCCCAGCACTCGGGAGGCTGAGGCAGGAGGATCATTGCGAATTTGAGGCCAGCCTGGGCTACAAAGTGAGCTGAAGGCCAGCCTGAACTGCATAGTGAGACCCTGTCTCAAAAAGACAAAAAAAAAAAACAAAAACACCAAACCCAACAGTTTAGACCCTGAAACCAAACAGACCGTGATCACTAATGTGTGACTCTAGGCAAAGTACATAAACTCTCTGAGCATCAGTTTTCTCATCAATGAAAACGGATTTCCAGGCACAGCTCATGCGTCGTCCTTCCGTGAGGGTGGAAGGAGACCCCTCCCTGGCATGGGCCTGGCGTGCAGGAAGCCCACAGGCAGTGCTGGCACCCACCACTGCAGTGACAGTGGCCATGATGGCAGTGCAGAGTTACTGTTGCTAGGCCCCATTCTCTAGGAACCCGCAGGCAAGGTGCCCAGCCCTGCTGCACCCAGCTTCTCCTTTGCTGTGCCCCAGCTGCCAGGCTGGCTTTCCGGCCAGCATCTCCCAAAGCAGCCAGCTCCCCTACTGCCGTTGCTACCCCCCTCCCTTCTCCTTCAGGAAGCCTGCAGCATTCCTGGGGTTGGGAAGCGGATGGCTGAGAAGATCGTGGAGATCCTGGAGAGTGGGCATCTGCGGAAGTTGGACCATATCAGCGAAAGTGTGCCTGTTTTGGAACTCTTCTCCAACATCTGGGGAGCTGGGACCAAGACTGCCCAGATGTGGTACCATCAGGTTACAACCTAGTCCAGCTGTCCCTCCTGCATTGCTGTGTCTCCCATAGCTCCCTTGCCCTGGGTACTCAGGTAACCTGGGTATTATTTTCCTCTGCACTCATGGGAATGAACCCAGGCTAACAGAAGCCTCCTGTGTCTGCTTGTTCACCCGCTTCATCAGTCTCGGATTCCCATAACTTCCCTCTTGCTGCCTTTTTCCAGGGCTTCCGGAGCCTGGAAGACATTCGCAACCTGGCCTCCCTGACTGCCCAGCAAGCCATCGGCCTGAAGCATTACAATGACTTCCTGGAACGCATGCCCAGAGAGGAAGCTGCAGAGATCGCGCACACAGTAAGCAGGTGTCCCAGAGCTTCAGGGAGACCCAGGCCAGTGAATAAGGTTCTGGTCCAAGCTAAGAACCCCTAACCTGTCCATTGGGCAGCGTAGCAGGCAGGGGACCCTGTGGATCACCAGAGGTCGGAAGGAACAAGTTGGGACCAAAGCTGCAGCCCAGAGGAGGTGGGTGGCCTGGGGGAGAGTTCCCAGCATCACACAGTGGGAGTGCCGGGGGGTGTCAGGCTGCAGGGCGCACAGGTGTCGTCCCAGCTACTCCACGGCTTGGAACAGGGCCAGGCAGGACAGGCAGAGGTTCTCTGTGCTTTCTGACTGAGACCTCTTTGCGTACGGGACGAAAACAGTAGACTCTTAGTGCCACACACGCGCGTGCGCACACACTGCAAGCTCTGTGTCTTTCCTCACTCTCTTCCTGTGGAAGCCCACCAAAGGCTGGTCAGATGGGGTGGGTTGGGGTGAGGCCACAGGGTTGGTTGGACTGGTTGGGGTTACAGGAAAGCACCGTCAAGATTGAGTAGGCTTTAAGAATAGGGTTTTTTTTTTTTTTGTATTGGTGGTTATTGAATTAAGATTTGTAATAAGATTTGTCCAAAGGTTTAATTTAGAACTGGGTGACAGGCCAAGTTTATGTAAAATCTCAAGTAGAGAGACAGGGCTCTTGAGGACTAGCTGTGTCATCTCTTCGGCTGGCCCTGGGATTAGGGATGGGGCTGTGAGTACTGGGGCCTGCTGGTTTTGGCCGAAGGTCCTGAGGGTAGGATTCCCGGGGAACCAGTTTAGCTGAAATCAGACTTCAGCTCCATTTCTGGCCTGGGCTGTGTGGAGCAGGTGTAGATGGATGGACAGGCCCCTTTGTATGCCAGGTGTCAGTGCTGGTGATGACACTGTCACTCAGCCACGCTGTCCAGGCACAGAGAATGCCCCAGCCAACTGGCAGCCCCCGCCTGTGGGGACAGAAGAGGCTCCCCAGCTGGCCCTCCAGGGCCCACGTAGGCTCCAGCCTCAGGGGGTCTGATGGAATTACTCTTCAAGGCCTCCTCCTCCTGTTCTCCTGGGAGGCCTGAGAAGGGCCTGAGGGGATTAGCAGAGCCTGCCTGTCAGAGAAATTGAGGTGTCTTTGGAGGTGCCCTGGCTGGTATCCAGGGCCACAGAAATCTGTGTCCTGGGTGGAGGCAGGGCGACATTTGCATACGAAAGGCCCCAGTGTCTGGGCTGGAGGCTAATGGGCTTACTTCTCCCACCCAGGGCTGGCTGGCCAGCCACCCTTTCCCAGCTGCCCGGGATGTGGAGGGCTCACGCCGACCCCCTCTTGCTTCCATCTCTCTCTTTCCCACAGGTCCAGTTCTGTTTCTGTGCACCATCTTCTCTAAGGCCTGCTGCTCAGGCTCCAGCCCCCGCTCACACCTTCTGCCCTCAGCTCCAGATCTGCACCAGATTGGGCTGCCGGGACCTGGCTGAGTGCTTCCTGGCACCGGCCCCTGGCCCGGTGGAATCACACAGACCTGTGCCGTGGGTGTGAGCTGGGGCAGAGCTGAGGGGAAGTAATGCCCCTGCTCTCACAGGCTGGTGTCCTGGGCACTCGCTCCGCTGCTTGCCCTGGCGGATGGGAGCAGAGGTGCCGCTGGTGGACTCCCTCAGCTGCAGCAGCCCTGGGGACCGGCTTGAGAGCAGAGCGCAGGCCCCTGGCTCCAGGCAGGCCCTGTGCTGTCGTGGGGAGGGGCCCTCATCTCTCTCCCCGCTTCCAGGTCTGTGTGGCAGCCCAGGCCTTCAATCCGGGGCTGTTATGCGTGGCGTGTGGCTCCTACCGCCGGGGGAAGCCGACCTGCGGAGACATGGACGTGCTCGTCACTCACCCGGACGGCAGGTCCCACCAGGGCATCTTCAGTCGCCTTCTGGACAAACTCAGGCAGCAAGGTATATGCAGCACGGTGGCAGGCGGGAGAGGGCTTGGCGGGTGGGAACGCCCCGCCGCCAGGCTGAGGCCCCTGAGGAGAGGACACCTGCCAGGAGATGCGCAAGTTCTTAGGTCGCCTCCCGCCTCGGTCGCTCGGCACCCTGGCCTGGTCACTTGGCACAGGCGGGCTGGGAGCAGAGTGCAGGGACCGAGAGGCCAGGAGGGGAGGCGGGCCAGGCCTGGCCGTGTCCTCCCAGCCCTCCCCTGCTGGCCAGGGTTCCTCACAGACGACTTGGTGAGCCAGGAGGACAACGGGCAGCAGCAGAAGTACCTGGGTGTGTGCCGGCTCCCGGGCCCAGGGCGGCGGCACCGGCGCCTGGACGTCATCGTGGTGCCCTACAGCGAGTTTGCCTGTGCCCTGCTGTACTTCACCGGCTCGGCCCACTTCAACCGGTCCATGCGGGCTCTGGCCAAGACCAAGGGCCTGAGCCTGTCGGAGCACGCGCTCACAGCTGTGGCCCGCAGCCCTCAAGGCTGGAAGGTGGGGCCTGGCCGAGTGCTGCCCACCCCCACGGAGAAGGACGTCTTCCAGCTCCTAGGCCTGCCCTACCGGGAGCCAGCTGAGCGGGACTGGTGACCAGGGCTGAGGGCAACCCCCGGCCGCCCAGCACCCCTCCAACCTCAGCTGGCTGAGCCTCCCTACTGCAGCCCCCGCTGTGCTATGCTGGGGAGCCTGCGCCTGGTCTCGGCCGGCCGTGAGCGAAGGAGCAGGCCGGGCTCCCGGTGCAGGGGTCTCTCTGGCTTGAGGCTGCCCCCGTGGAGCACTGCGCACTCCCTGTCACACACTGCCCTGCCTCGTGGTGAGCAGCAGTGGGTGGCTGGTTCGCAGCCAGCTTCCTGTGCTTCCCCCCCCAACCTGAGAAAGATCTAGCTGCTGGGGGAGAAGGAAGCAGCTGCGGTCTAGCATCAGCCAAGGCCCTCCGAGGGGGAGGACGAGCCCTTCCGCATGTGCTCCCTCTCAGCTGCTTCCTGTGCAGCTGGAGCTGCTGGGAAGCGGTGCCCCTGGCTCTGGGAGGGCAGTGTGCGAAGGCCCAGGGGCCCAGTAAAGTGCATTGGACATGGCCTGCCTGGTGTGTGTGAGCGCTGCACCCCTCCGCCCGACCCCTTCCACCCAGGCGAGACAGGTGGGCCAACAGCAAGCCCAGAGACACGAGTCCAGCGGGCCCAGAGGCAGAGAAGCCTGTGTTGTTGGAATGCGGGGATTCTGGAGCCGCCCCTTGGTGGGTGCTTCAGACCTGAACTTGGGCCCCGGGCAGGCACCCTCGTGAGTGTGCTGGGTGTGAGGAGATACGTATGCGCAGAACCCTGCGTCTGTCAGCCTGCGGAGTTCCAGAGCTGCCCTCCACTGCCCTGGTCTCAATGCTGGGGCCCGGCTGGGTGTGCTGGCGCTTGCTTGTAAGCCCAGCTATTCAGGGGCAGCCACAAAAGGATCGAGAGTTTGGGCCCAGCCCAGGCGATTCAGCGAGACACCATCAAAACACGCAAGCACACACGTGCTGTTGTGGCCCTCGCAGCCAAGCGGACCTTGCCCCGAAGCCCAGATTCCAGCGTCTGAGGGCTGTTCCTCTTGGAGTCAAGAGACCACACCCATGGCCAGAGCCCTGGGCCCGGGCAAACCGCTGGTGCAGACTGGCAGGAGGCTTCAGCGGCCAGGAGTGGCCAGGAGAGCAGCTGAGGACTCCCTGGGCCCGCAGCTGGCTTACGAGGGCTGCTCCTCTCCGCAGCGCCTGCCGCTGCTCCCAGCAAGGGCTGGGGTCAGCAGAAGCCTAAGACTGGGCTAAGTCCCCATGTGGGAGTTGTGCTCCCCGCAGTGCCCCAGCAGCCCCAGGCCTGAGGCAAAGGCCCCAAGCTGGGGACGGGGGGCCTGCTGTGGGGGCTGGTCACCAGGCCAAGTTGAGCCCTCCTCACACACACAGGAAGGTCCCAGTCCACAGCGCGCTGCGAACTCAGCGGCTGACCCTGTGCCTGATACGCCTCCCATCTGCCTTCACCTTTTACGTGAGGAGACTCAGAATTTGGGGTGTGCCCTCAAACCATACAGATTCCTGGTCTGACCCCCGGCAAGGGCAGCAGAAAATCATGGGCTGGAGAGAGCGTGCCCACCATCCAGGGGGGAACCTGCTGCTGTTTATCAGCCCTAGAGCCAGTGAATATACTACTTTCCTTGGCTAAAGAGACGCAGCCGTGATCACGTTTAAGCATGGAGACGAGGCCATGCTCTAGATTACCCAGGGGCCTCCGGGTACAAGGGTCTGTAGGAGCTGAGAGGCAGGCGTGCGGGTGGAAGGCGGGCTGGGGATGTGAGGCTCCCGGCTGCGTGGTGGAGAAGGCGGCCTGTGGCAGATGGGGGAGACACAGGGCTGATCCCACTTGCATCTTCAGGAGGGACACAGCCCCACGGCACCTGGTGTACTCGAGTGACCTGTGTCTGACTTTGCACCCACAGACCTGTGAGATGCCGTGTGTCGTGTTGGGGCATGAGGCTTGCGGTGGGGCTGCTGCGACAGTATCTCACCAGAGGGCAGTGGCCGGGTGTGTCCGGCCAGGGGCCTCCGGTCCACGAAATGCAGCTGCTGTTCAGAAAGGGAAGGCCTCGTGCCTCGGGGAGCGGCGGGCTCTGCCCTCTCTCCTGACTGCTGACGGCTCAGCCTGCACCTCCTTTAGTTTCTCACCCTCCGACACTGTACCCCAGGAACAAGGCCTCCCTGGCTGCTCTGCCCCAGCCTGGCCCTGGTAGCCAGCCGCCTGATCTTTTCCCAGGGTTGGCACAGCCTTGCCCCAAAAGGGAAGCAGGCAGACCGGGTTTGCACCTAGGATCTGGCTGGTTATGGAGAAAGGATACGGGCACAGGGCCGGGGCCTCCCAGCCCGCACCCAGTGTGGACACCGCAAGGTCGTCACCCTGCTGTGTCCTGTTCCGCGGTTCCCAGGGCTGCCCTTGGGCCTGCTGCTGCAGAATTGTATTCCTGCTGCCGTACAGGGAGAGGGCTTTGGAAGGCCTGGCCTTAGCCCGCCTCACCCCTCCACTCAGGGAGACCTCACGTGGAAGCCACAGCGTGGGGTGGCCTGTGCCCTCCGGAGTGCAGGTCCACATGGGATCCAGAGCAGCCCAGGAGAAGCTCAGCACCAAGTCCCCGCTGGTGTCCACGCTGCCCTGCGGAGAATCCCGGGTAGCCCCGGCTGTGAGCTCTGTAGGGGACCCTCCGGCTGAATCCGCAGAGTGCCCCCAGATGCTGGTCCAGACCTCCCTGCGCCGTTCTCCCCACCGGGAGCCAGGGCTGAGGCTGAGCCCCGCAGCACACCTTCAGGGGTCATCCCCGACGGCGCCCAGGGGCTCTTGAGGGCGATGCCACTGGAGGGTGGACCAGAGGCCAGCCCGCACTGCTTGAGTGGCTTGGGCAGCACCTCCGCCTGCTGGACCTGGGCCTGGCCCACACCTCTCCCTCCCCACACGTGTGGGAGGCCTGGGAACGGCCTGTGTTTGGCTGCACGGCCATTTGTGTGCCTGGTGTGCTCCTGGCCCTGTGTCTGGGGCTGTGTGTTCATGCCTTTCACATCCGAGTGTGTGTGTCCCTGTCCATCCAGGCCTCGGGGTGTAGGCCCCTGTGTCGTCAAGGGCTCAGGCAGGCCCAGGGCAGGGCCGAGGGAAGGTGGAGGAGCCCTGGCTGGGCCCTGGGCTCCAGGCCCTGTGTCCACAGAGGAGGCCGCAGGGTGCGCCGCTTGCGTCAGCCTTGAGCGGCCATCAATAGCGTGCGGTTAATTAATTTGATGGGAACAGCAGGGACCGCCGTTTGCATTTAGTGAAGTTCCAGGAACTTCCAACCTCATCTTCATAATTGGCCTCATAAATTGTAAGAAAGAGAGAGATCAGCAAAGCGGGAGGGAGGAGGGGCCGCCCGTCCGTCCTTATTTAATTTTATTGCTGAAATTCATCTTTTTAGCCTCCTCCGCCTGAATCGGCTCTCCCTGCCGGATTTGCCTAATCATGATAAATTAATATTCATTTTCCCACCTCTTACCCAGCTCCCGCGCGTGCATGGAGTTGGGGAAGGTCTCCTTCCAGCCCCTCTGCTGGCCTGGGCAGGAGCTTTCCCGGCAGGGACCCACAAAGGGAATCTGTGTGCCCAATGGAGAGGGACCCTGGGGGCAGGAGGGGCGTCTGGGTGGAAGATGGGGCCCTGCTTCTTTCAGGGAGACGACCCAGGGATTGATAGGGGCTCACAGAGGGTCTGGGGAGCTGAGATCAACTACAAGGATTGAGATCAATCCACAAAGCTGAGATCAACCAGCAAGGCCGGTGGGAGGTGCCGGAGGAGCCCTAGAAGGCCTCTTGAAGGCCCAAAGGCTGGGGCTGGGGCCACACAGGGTGGGCTGGGGCCAGCTGGAATCGAGAGGCAGTGCAGCGCCCGGCTCTCTGCCCCCTCCCCCCGCGCTAGGCAAAGGCCACCTCGCCTGTGCACCCCAGCGGGAGAGGCGGCCTCTGCACTCTCCCACAGCCTCTCTGGCGGCTGGACCCTGACCCTGCTCCTGTGCCGTGGGTGGCTGTTGGGGGGCCCTCGGGACGGAGCATACATCATCGCACGCTTCCCTGGCAGTGCGGCTCCCCGTTCTGAGGGTTAGGGTTCCCTGCCCCGTTGCATCACAGTTAGTGAGACCCCAGGAAACCTCCGGTTCACTCAGCCCCTTTCCTCATTTACGAGGAGACCGAGGGCCTAGGCTGGAGGCAGCTGGGGCAGTGTGTCACAGAGGCCAGGAGGGCCAGTCTAGGAGGTCGCTGCCCCACCCCGGGGCAGGGCGCAGGGCGGGGGCTCCAGGCGGCCCTCGGGGCCCGGCCCAGCTCTCTCCTCTGCCTTTGAGTGGGGTGAAACCTCCAGCTGTGAGAAGGGGGACGCCTCGCTGTGGTACAGCCGTGGCATAGGGCACTGTCTGGCCGGCCTGGTGTCATCATGGGAACCCTTTAGAGGCCCAGGCTTTTCCTGAGCTGGCAGCAGCAGGAGCAGGAGGAGCGAATGGAAGCAGGAGGGCCAGAGAGGGTCCCTGAGGCAGGCTGGGTCGCCAGCCGGCACGGAAGCAGGGCCTGCAGCGCTGCCGCCGCAGTGTGGGGCCACGCGTCCCGGCTGCGAGGACGGCCCTGGGCTTCGGGGCGAGCCCGCCAGGACTCAGCCCTCCAGAAGCGCGTGCGGCTCGTGGGAGTGTCTGCAGCTAAGTGTGGGAGGCTGAGTCACGCGGCTGCCGAGCAGGTGCGAAGGGCGAGGGGGTGCCCAAGGAGCTCCTGTGCGAAGGGGCGAGGCTGGAAGGCTGAGGCCCTCACTCCACGGGGTCCGTCCCGGGGCCAGAGCCCTCGCGCTCCCTCCTGTTTCCCTGGGCCCGGAGCTTGGGAGCGGTTCCCTGGCCGCTGAGCCCGCCCCAGCTCCGCGGGGGAAGATGCCCTGGTGCCCACTGGAGGGCGCAGCGCCGCCGGAGGCGGAGAAAGCAGTTAAGGAGGCGGACGGGAGGAGCCGGGCTGGCCGCCCCGCGTGCGGGGTTTACTTCCGCAGAGCTTTGGCGGCATTTACGGGCTTGAGTGCTGGGCCCGTCCCGTCCACGCTCAGCCTAGCTCCGCGTGCACCACGGGTCGCCGTCGTGTCCCCGCGAGGCACGGAGAGGCGCTCCGCTCGTCCGCGGCCACACAGCGCCGTCACAGCCGGGGTTGGCGCGGACCCGCGGGACTCGGAGGCCCGGCCCGTTTCCCCGGCGGCCGTGGGGAGCTGGCGCGGACCCCGCCCTCCGTCCCGGTG